GCTTCCGCTGTACCTATCAGTCTCGAGAAAATACCGACAGACACACGTTTCCAAGGTTAGGTAGAGGGTCGATACGTGCTGTTTCCCATCCATCAAGCCACTAACTCTAACCGCAAACATGGCACGGCTTTGTCAGTTAATCACCAAACCATCTGTAAAAAGTTCACTTCTTTATCAGCCCTGGAAATTTAAGAAATCAGGCCAGTGCTCCCGTTAGTCTCAGCAATTCCTCTTGCATCCAGTTCCCACCATTGGCTTTTGCACCAAGAAGTTAAATACTCGCCTGCTAACAAGTATTTTTAAAAGTCTCGAGCGCTTCCGAGGGGTTTTTGGCCTTTCCCAAAGGATTAACTGTACAGGATTTTCCTGAAGTTTAAGGTATAAAGATACATTGTGTTTGAGAGGAAGACATGAAAGAGCCATACTTGGAGACTAACAATGATCCCCACACGAGCTTCCTTGTGCAACGGAAAGGCAAGCTTTAGGGACGCGGCAGAAAGGTTGCCAAGGAAGGAGCCTAACAAAGCGTTTGGGGCTTTGTTTGTAGATGTGAATGCACCAGCAGGCCCGAGCTCGCCAGCCATCAACAAAACCGTGGCGAGGCAGAGCCGGGGTGGCACCGGTGCCCAGAACGCAGGGTGCCCTCACCCTGGGACACCCACCACGCTGCATTCAGTCATGTCAAATACTTTTTTTTTTTTTACAGTTTCCAAGCTTTGAAGACCAGGCCTTCGTTCAGCAGCTGCACCAGAAGCAAAAGCAAGTCGTCCAGGCTATTTCTCAAGCGCTGCGGCTTTCTCTAGCTATGTGACTAAGCCTCTGCACACAAATGTCCTATCTCAGCACCTCACAGGAAGACAGGGGCTCATTAAAGCCGCTCTGGCACAAGTGACACCACCACAATCGGAGGAAGGGAAAAAAGGTAGGGTTTTTTTTGTAACATGACCAGCAGAACAGCAGAGGGTATTGCCAAAGCACAGGAACACATAGTCCTCATCGCTGTGGCCAGGCAGTTTCCTCCGAAACCACCTCTGAGCCGTACAGATGGAAGGGCTGGAAAGAGACTGGGAAGTTTCCCTGGAAGGGTTTGGAAGGTGCTCTCACAGCTGGCCATTTTAAAGCTCTTCGAAGCAAAGCCTCCTACCCAGCAGAAGCACCAAATCCACTTGGAGAGGGGGACTAGGACAGAGGAGCGAGTTTGCACCTGCTGGAGCTGGAGTTAGGAGCTCCAGCCTCATCACCCAGCCCTTTTGCTTCTGATCCAAGAGCTCGTTCTAGCACATCTGCTCAGGCTTAATTATCCCCCTTCCCTCTCAACTCCCTAACGAGAGGCACATCAGTTATCTGAAGACAGAGCCCAGGGGAGTTTTACAAATCAGCCATCCCAATTTACGTCCACATATTTCTGATAGCTGCAGGAAAAGCACTCGCCTCAAGGTTTCCTGCAGGAATAACAATACCTGAAGTTTGTTACGCAGATCAAAAAAAAGCAGCCAATTTAAAACTGAACTTTGTAATCGAGTTTTGCATACATCACCGTAATACAAGCCACACTATCAATATAAATGCTATTGTTAGACCACTGCTATTCCCAGCTTTTAGACTGTATTATTGAGCTTTGGAAAGTGAAGGCAGTGCTTGCTTATAATTAGTTAAATTCATCTGAAACAGAAGATTCCTTGACATCATCTGTTTGGATCACCATTACAGAAGGGACAAAAGGAACACTACTGCAACTGCACTAAAAACTAATTAACACAGTTTAGTCATTAGCAGGTGCAGCTGCCTGAAAAGTGGGATTTTGTCACCGAGTTTGAAGTATCTCCTCCTTCAGAGATGAGCTGAAAAAAACCCCAAAGCTTACACCACTACAGAACAAAAAGCCTAGCACTGACCTCCGCCAGATGCTCTGAATTACAGGTGACCTCCAGCAGACCCAGCGAGAGTTTCAAAGACACACATTTATCACAGCCTCCTTTAATAAATCAGAATTAAGCAGACTTGACACACTTTAAGCCATTTTGGATGACAATATGACTAATCCACAGAAAACCCCCAATTAACCAGTGTGCTACTGCAAATAAACAGAATCCCGAAACAACTGAGGAAGTTAAAATAAAGGACAGCTTGGAACTGCAGAACCAGCACACTGCTCCCAGCAGCCTCAAAATTTTCCCTCGTACTGTCAGAGTGACTTATTTCCCCCCCGCTTTCCTCATCTCTGCCACCTTGACAATTTTAGCAGAGATGTGGGGCTCGAAAGAAAGGAGGTGGGAACATTTTCTACTTGAGAGGTATTTTAAGGTTAATGAGAAAAGCGCTTCCCCCTTTGCTCCGAGTGCGAGCTGTTCCCATCCCCAAACCAGCGCAGATCTCCGGCAGCAACCAGAGTTCAGCAATCCACAGCTTTTGGGCTGCGGAGGCAGTCAACCGACACACGGGCAACCAAAAACTGGACAGGCTTCTCCTCTTGGCCAGCTGGAACCACTGTCAACCCAGGCAGGACTCAAACCCGTCATCCCGCGGGGTGAGAAGCTCCATATCCTATTACTAGCTCAGCAAACTGCCTGTGCTCTTCCCTACAACTCCCTCTCCGCTTCATATGGTGTTATTCGGGAACTTTGCAAACAAACCTCAGTGGCGTCCCTGCTCTGTGTGACTAAAAAGCAAAAGCAGACAGGGATTTCCATCCCTCGCCTTCAGCAGACGTATGACCAGTTGTAGGGCACAGCCCAAGCAGACAACCCAGAAATAAGGACCGGGCAGGAGGTTGGAAACAAAGCCTCACACTTCTGGCTCTCATGCTAAATTTAGTCCAGTCTCGTAATGACCTAAAAACAGTTGATGTGGGTTTCTGTGACGCAGGTGGCAGCCTGGTCAGCTCCATTCAGTTCCTAAGGGAAGAACGTGAACGCTGCAAAGTCCTGATGCCATTCGGGTGACTTCGGGAGAACCGAACAGTGAAAAGTAGCTATCGATTCACGCCTATATACAACGGCTTTGACTGAGCCAAGCGGTTTCAGCTTCTGATCCATCCTGTATCTTGCAAGAATTAGGGGAACATTTCGATTCACACCTATATACAACAGCTTTGAGCCAAGCGGTTTCAGCTTCTGATCCATCCTGTATCTTGCAAGAATTAGGGGAACATTCCCCCCCAGCCCTGGTGTTTTACACGCTCTTGACTGCAATTTTTGTGTATTAAGGAAAACGAGCGAGAGAAAACAAACACCAGTGACAAGGCACACTTAGTAGCAGAAGCACATAACCTGCCAGCTCAGGACCCTCTTTCCATTAAGGGGCTTTTCTATTGTTTGAAGTGCCTTGTAAAGGAGAGTAAAAGCCTTCAACATCGTAGCACCATACACCTGACTGCGCAGCCTTTCCCTGGGTGCTCAGCAACAGAACCCCAGCTGCTATTTGAAATAAAACAAAACCTACAGAGGATTATGAAGTTCGCTTATCTTAAGACTCGTTTCTTGTGCCTTCCAAGTCTGCAGAAAACTGGCGAGAAAGAGTTGCACACAGAATATCCTGAAGTGTCCTCATTACACTGAACTTCAGGTAGCAGCGAAGAAACCTGTGACTTTGGAAGCCACCAAGAGGCACAGAGGACAATTTAAGGACTCACTTGCTACTGAGCTGTACATATTCCGAGACTCTTTTAAAAAAACCACAGTAATGCAACTCCTGACCCTGAAGAATCCCATTGCACCCCAGCCACACCGAGCAGGAAGCCCTTGCAAACAGATAAACAGAAGTCGAAAAAAAGGAAACTACATCAAATGCAATATTCATCAGCAGACGACTAAAACTTTTGGCTCTAACAAGACAGAGATGCTGGTTCAGACTCAAACTAGCTGGTTATAACTTAAGCTGTTCTCATGCCCGATCCCCACTTACGCAACCAACTCCAGAGAAAAACTAATGGAGGAGAACAGTTTGGAAGGCCCCAAAGCCACGTGCACAACGTTGAGACGTTGAGAAGAGGCACCAGCAGCACCTGGGCTCTCTCGAGGCACCTTTGCATGACAGCCTCAAATCGCCTTCACTAGAATCCCCATGCAGACAATAACCCCACAAAACACATTTCTTGCTATGACTAAACAGGCAAATCATCTTTGCTTAACCCTGACTCTTCTTCTGATGCGTCACGCTGAAGTGACGAAAGACTTTTTCTTTTTCCAGAGAACTGACATTTGAAAAGCTGCAGCAGGTCAGTGCGAAGGGACAAATTGTCAGCGAGTAGAAGTCACCGTAAAGGGGTGACTGCAGATCCTCAGGTGCACAAATCAACGTGTGTCTGCAGGAACCGACGTAAAGCAACTCAGGGAGAGGAGCTCCCATGTTGGCATTTGATCGCTCCGAATCCTAACGCAAGAAGCTAATCCTCTAGCTTCAACATACGCCGAGAATCAAACACACCCCTCTCCTAAACAATCTATACTCTAAATCGGTAAAACTGAGTTTAGCAACAGAGTATGGGCAGATGGTTTAATTGTCCAGCGGTCAATAAGCTTTGCAGGACTGAACATCAAGTTCATTTCAGCGGGTCAGCAAATTTTCTTCTTTCTTTCAGAGCATATGCACATTTGTGGCATGCTTTTAAACGCAAAATAGTGCCTTCTCATGGATGCAAGGGCTTAACATTATGAGAACATTATCGCTAATCATTTCAATTTTACAATATTTTTTGTTTTCATTTGGCAAGATGCAAGTCTCAATATTATGCTGCGGAAATTCAAGCAGTGACCAGTAATTAAAACAGGGTTCACAGTTTAAATGACTTGCTGAAACCACGGGGGTATATTTCTTCAGTCTTGCACTTAACCCCAACTAGTGTTTTGAGATCCCGCCCCCCGCCCCAACCGCTACTGCTGTGGCTCTTCTCCACGTGTAAAACGCACTGCTTTTGCCCTCTGCAAAGTTAGAAGAGCACGGCTATTTACTGGCGAAATCTCCTCCTTCTTGATCCAAACAAGGCAAGTATTTAAACTTACCTTTTCAGGGCAACCTTCTGGTCACACTGCCAGCATCAAACAAAAGAAAACATGGCAGAAACCATGAATTAATAAAAAAACCTGGGTTATGACTAATTTATAACTTTCCCAGCAGTTGCAAGCAAGCCAGAATCTGTTTAAATCCAAGACCTTGGAGCTTTACACAAAACACACGAGTTCATTACGGTGTCCACAATTTTTAAAAAAGCATGAAGCAGCACTAGCCGTAAGCTCACTCGCAGGGCGCAGTCGCTCCTATCAGCCACGAGAAGGGTGAGTTAACACCTCCTCGCATACCTTCCCTTTCAAGGAACACAGACTCCGGTACTGAGTTACAAGGATCTGATTTCTGACATCTCAACTTTTCAACCGAGCATCGTCCCCCCCAGTCTCTCAAAGCCGCATTCTCCTGTTGGGATCTAAGCTTACCCCAATAACCATGCACAGATTCCTCCCCTAGGCCAGGAGTATTAAGTTACCTACGATGCCAGGTCTGTTAAACAAAACGCTGTGGTTTTGTTTAGCTTCCTATTTTCACTGCTTCCCTGATTTCACAACTGACACAGTGGCAGGCTGAAAGCCTTAAAAGAAAAAAAAAAAAAATTAAAAAAAATTAAAAGAGGAGGTGGCTTCGGTAGCACCGAGGAGTAAGTCGGTATAACCGTGCTGAGTCACATCGCAGTTAAGATTTGACATTTCCAGGATAAGTGCTTCACTCCTAGAAGGGTTGTTTCTTTATTTCATCCTTGTTTACTTTACAATCCTGTCATACAAATTAGAGGATTACAAAGCAAGGCCATCACCGAAACTTTTGCGGAAATCAGTCCACGACATGCCATTCTTGCCCAAGCGAACCGCAACTGCCACCGCCAAGCATGAAGCAGATACCTTCAAGAAGTATCACAACGCACCGCTACGGAGGACTGCTCCCAAGCACCACTGACACGGACACATCTCTCACGCAGAACATGAGCTCAGCATGAAAGCAGCCCAATTATTGCGAGGTTTAAAACTTGCCTTGCTGCTACGTGAAACCAGCACTCTGCACGCATTCATATTCAGCTGTGTCGGCTTTGAAGATTTGAGGGGGAAGGTCAGTGAGTTTGAATTAATGGTATTAGACAGAAGAAAAACATAACCGGTTTCATTTGCCTTCAGCAGAAAGGAGAGCGCAAGACAGCATTAGCTTCCACCAGCTTTGATTAAATGTATCACCAGGGAGAAACCTCTCCCCACCCCTAAAGAGAAAAAAAAAGTACAGAAAGAAAGAAGAGAAAAAAGAAAAAAAGAGGACTTCCCCAAACAAACCAGCTTGGAAACAGCCAGGACACGAGAGCAATTTTGGGATTGCATCCATCACCAACTCCACGCCATGTTCTCTTCCTTCAGGTTTCAAAAGCACCGGGATCCTCTCAGTGCAGCTCTCCCAAGGCTGATACTGGTTTAAGAAAAGCCAACAGCCCCCCTCTCCAAATGCATTTAAAAACCAAACCTGGTTCTTTTCAAAATTAAAAAAAAAAAAAAAAAAAAAGATCTGGCTTCAAACCATTTACAGTTGACTGAGCAAGACTTAAAGGAGCAGCTTCATTTGCCCCTAAAACCAAGATGAGTTTTAACTCTTCAACCACGTCCACAATGGCGATCAAGAACTAAACTGCAGCTTCACAGCACGGTTTTAAAATAGCATTTAGATCTAGAGACAGCTTTAAGAACAAAATGATTTTTGAGCTCCGGTCTTGCCTCAGCAGACAACCTGGGTTTATGTTCTCATCCAGCTTTTCTGCTGCAAAAGAACGGGTGTCTCATCGGACATTCGCCCCTGCCCCGACGCGTCGCTGCGCAGCTCCAGAGCACGCCTGGTCTTGCCACCGTCAAGAAAAAACAAAGCAACACAGCCCACCGAGAAATGCCAAGTGCTTAAGTTAATAATTTATCAATCTCTTCAACTTTGCATCTATCACTCTACCACGCTGGAGGTTAATCAGGGACACGCAGGCCTGCGTGTACCACACACTGATTTTTACCTTTTTCAGGGGGTATGCTTGATAACTGCGTAAGTACCTGATCCTATCCTAAATCCTGTCAGGTTTTAGTCAAAATCTCAGACGTTACGGACTGCCAGAGTCTCTCCAGTGCAAACATGCTTAAGCTTACCTTTCAATGTCACACCTTGCTCAGGGGCCGGGAGCAGGCAGACCTGACACTATTCATCCCCTCTCAATACCATTCATTCATTATGCATACCACTACCTCATCCCCTCTTGTTCACCTCCGTTTGGATATAGTCTGTCCCAATACAGTCATTATAAAAGGTCCACAGACGGCTGACTAGAAACAATCAGCTGTTACACGGAGAGTACCCAGGCAGTCGGGAAGGCAGCAATGATTTGCACATCTATAATTTACACGCTAAGTCCCCCACCACTGCTCTCGCAGGAGAGAGCGCCCAAGGCCAGGTGAAAAGCCCACTGGAATTTGGAAATAATGCAAAATTTAGCTAACAATCAACTGTCAGCTTTTAACCTCAACCTTTCACAGGGGATGACAAATGCCTCCAGGGTTAAGCTCCCCTAAAGGGCAGCAAGTGTCATAAATGCAGACTTTTCCTAACAAAAACATTAAAACAAATTTAAAACATTCATTTTTAAGGGAGTATCACAAAAAAAAATTAAAGCCAGCTACAGCCAGATAGTGCAAAACGTTTCAGAATAATCCACCCAGACACTCTGTTTGTACAATCTCAAAGAAAATATCTTATGCTTCTTTCTTCTAGCATTCAGTCCAAGGAAAGCACGCACCAGCGAAATGCAATCATTTCTGGAAAGCAGCATTTGACCCTGTGAAAGCGATCGAAAATGGCTATCCCTTCCTCACACTGAGTCAGTAATATCTGGAAATCTACACCACCTCCTGCGCTTTCCTGTATGTGGATCATGCAGAATATACAGGCATGCTCTGTAATTCACAGTTTAAAAGGGATTAGAGGCGACAGACCACCACCACCTCAGTTTAAAAACGATACACGCAGATCCACCCCTCTACCTGATTTGAAACACCTAATGCCAAGAAAATGGACTGCGAGTGATTTGGCTTCTCTTGGAAGGCTGAATCAATTTGCTCCAGGGAATAAGTCAAATGATTTAAGACTAGAGGACAGCTCTTGGAAGCTGCAACGGTAACAAAAAAATAGTATCTTAGTTCTCAATCCAGTACCAGCCCCAGTTTGCAGAGAATCGTTAATGGCTACACAAGCCCAAGAGGCAGTGAAATCACCTTTTTCCAAGAGACTAAATCCACCCTCAATCTCAGACAGATCATTATCAGAGCAGCTGAGGAACTGGAAGAAGACGGAGACCGAAGATGAGGAGATAGCATTTAGAGGTGAGTGGTCATAAGGCCGAAGGGACTGAGCGGCGACAGGAGAGGGAAGAGCCTGGCAAAGACTAAGCAGAGATTGCCTTAGTGATGAGTAAGCGAGGGCTTGTACTTCTCTACAATGGCTGACCAGTATTCAAAGCGTATCAGCGTCAAGGAACAAACGATTCTGAACATCCCAAGAAGGTGGAAAAAAGGTATAAAAAAATTGGGGGGTGGGAAGTGAGAACCACATCGTTCTGCCAGCAATAAAACTAACTGACCATTTCCCTGGTAGAAGGTAGAACACGGGGTGTTTTCTAACGGCGAGGGCAGTTTGTCCGCAAGCTCCCTGCTAGAATCGACAGGCAACCGGCACACAGGCTGCATGACCTAGTAGAAACTAGAGATGGCAAGGTCGTATGATTCTTCAGTCACGCGAGCTCTATTTTGGTGAAGAAAAACAAAGAGCAACGCTCTATGTTCATTATTCCAGAAATACATGGACAAAATCCACAGGGAAATGGAGAGAGTGAAAGGAGGGAAGCTGAATGCACACAGTAAGACACACAATGAAACGCTGAACTCCTATACACCCCCCCACATATATAATTCACATTCAATATTAAAAAAAAATGTTATTCAGCAATCTCTCATTTTTGCTGCCAGAATAACATCCAGAATGGCAGGAGAGCAAAGCAGAAAATTCAGACACCTCTCCCTCAGCACCGCATCACCTCTAATTTAAGCAGACAGTAAAACAGATAGCTATTTGGCCGGGAACCCACTCCGTACGGGAGCCTGTCGCTTTAACTGTGGGCACTTTCCTGCCTTAACAACAACCTGTTATGTGTTTATCCTGGTTATGACTCCAATTAAATCATGGTTTAAGAAGGGCACCAAGTACCAACAGGTGCCGAGAACATTAAGTTATACTGCCACCAGCAATCGCTCTGCACTGGGGTGGTTTCAGATGCACCCTTCCCTTCCTAACAGCCCAATTCCTGCTGCTTTACCTCACTTGAAGAAAAAACATAAGAAAACAATCAGGGAGAAAACTCTATCAGGACTCTTAATTTAAGCACTCCTTTGCTTTTTGCTTGCAACAGGATACAGGACAGGGAAGGGCAGAGGGCTCCAGGAACGGGATCCTGCCCAAGAAGTGAAAGCCTGTGCAGCCAGCGAGTTGCCCCTTCGGGAGGGGGGCAGGATTGCCAACCACCACCTCTGCCCTCAGGCAGCCCCCGTTGTCCTCGGGCATCTCCCCCTCGCTGCCGGTGTTCGCGCGGAGGCAGCAAACCTGGAGCCTCCAAGGAGCAAGCTGCCACCACCTTCTCCCAGAGCGATCCAGCGGCAAGGTGTGAGCTCCGTGCGTGCCCAAGCCTCCGAAGGAGGCACTCAGCACCTTGCAGGATTTACACCCTCGGCTTCCAGCTTAACAGTCTGCTCAACCTGCTCCAGGTACAACAGGTAGGCACAAGGTAAGACAGCAATTAAGCACGTATTTGAAGGAGCGATTAATTGATGTTCTTCCAAAACCAAAGAAAACACTGACAGAGCACACCTCTGCTTTCCATGAGCTCAAGAGAGGAAGGCAGCAGCGCAACACGGGGCAACTCCTCGTGCTTGCCACTCAGGTATCAACAAAGCAAGCGTCCAGCAATCTCAAGGCTTTGCTTACAAGCTTTTAATGAGATTTTTTTTTTTTTTACGGTTTTAAAAAAAGAACATAATTTTAATGCTAGTGCACAGCGATAACCAGAGCCAAGACAAAACGCAAGCTGTACTTACATGAAGATTAAATGTAATATTTCCCTGGCAAATGGAACAATGCAGAGCCTCATCAGGGGGCATCTTCTGCTTAATCCTACATATTAAGACTTTAACAGGGTTTGCAAGATTCACAGCCATGCTCGAAGCTAACGTTATTGGCTGCTGCTGCTAAGAAATGTTGAACACATGGGAGTGCACTCAGCGAGACGCGTTTCCAAAAGCTTGCTGGGATTGTAAGATAGCCGTGATGACACTTAAAAACAATCACCTACTACAAATCCAAGCCTGCCTGGACCACAGTATAGCTTCTTAGAAAAGACAGAAGAAATATCAAGCACGCCCTTCTAGACACAGCAGCAGAAAGGAGAGCAGGGACACCATTTTACAAGGCAAGCCACTTGTTTTACTGAAATCCTGCCTGCACTTTTTTTTTTTTTAAAACTGTTACTACA